AAAGTCCACAACAGCAGGTTTACTCAGAAGTAAGTCCCATTTCCATTGTCATCATTCTGTGCAGTCCCACATTGGGACTGTGCGCGTGCACCGGCCAGCCGCTTTCTCAGCTTCTCTTTAGCCTTAGCAACAGGGCTGGGGGAGCCCCTCCCTTCCAGAGCTTCTCAGAGGCCATTTTCCCGCTCAAATGGTCACATGCTCCAGGTGAAGGTGCTCCTTCTTTCCGTCAGTTCGTTCGTTGCTGCCGCTCTGTGAAGAATATTCTAGCTTCGCCCCTTTACTTGAGATCTTCTCTGGAATAATGTTTGTTTTGTGCCACCAAGATGATGTGCACAGATGAACACTCCGTATGCCTCTTATGTTTAGGGGAAGACCATGATGTGGCAGCCTGTATGATCTGCCAAAAATTTGCCCCCAAGACATGGGCAGAATGCACTTCACACCACAAGGCCACCTTGAGGGAGGGAGCTTTGTCATGTTCTGTAGACCCAGCAGCTAAATCATCTGCCCTGTCTTTGGAGAAGGAGGGAAAGAAAACAGAACAGGGAGGGAGCGTCAACCTAAAGAGAGAGGGGTGGAAACAGGGAGGGCAGTGGGCAGCACTTAGATACTTACAGAAACAATTCTACTTTAAAAAGGATTAACGATTCGAAAGTGGATGAAAACAAAGAATCGGAGCAAAAGGAGTTTTGGTAGCTGCGGGGCACCAGTGTGCTGGAAGCGGTCTAAATGCAGATTCCTGTAAAACAAATTCAGAAGCAAGAGAAAGCCCCGACACAAAGTGGAAGTCAAAGCTGGAGGGAATGCAGAACAGAAGAATAGGATGCTCTCAGAAACCAAGGCAAAAGACGTGTGCAGAAAGGACAGTTGTCAAAGGAACAAGTAAACTCTGGCAGGAACGCTTCTGATGCATCCGTTCGTGCTATGGCTTCATCGATCGTTTTATGGAGACATTCCTGGCTCCGCTCAACTGCTCTCCCTCCTGATACAAGAACCAGAGTGGAGGACTTACTCTAAGAAGCATCTTCATTATTCTCTGTTAAAACTGACAATTTCCTACAACAGATTAAGAAAAATTGACAGAACACCCAGTCCTTTGGTATCACTCAAGGCTCCACTTCATCTTACAAGCCTAGATACCACTCAAGTGTGTTACCATCATCAGTCATACCAGTATCCTCAAACATCCTCTTCCCAACTTCTTGAACATACGAGGCACAGATCAGGATCATGGTGCAAGTCTGGCCCTCAACAGCAGCGCTCCTCTAAGGAGTCTGTACAGGCCTCAAAGCCTCTTTTCCATTGTCTCCTTTTTGGACAGACTTTCTAAGTTTTTGCCTCAGTTGCAACAAATCACCTCAGACTCGTGGGTGTTATCAATAGTTGAAATGAGCTATCACCTTGAATTTTTACATTTACCTCAGTTGCAACCCACAGCTGCTGCCATTGACAACAGTTTTCCTGAATTAACTTTGAGATTACAGCTTTTATTGGAGAAGGGAGCAGTTCAGGGCCTAGGCTCTGATGACCCTCCCTGTGGTTATTATTCAAGGTTCTTTCTGGTTAATAAAACAGATGGTGGGTGAAGACCAATCTTGGATCTAAGAGGTCTGAATTTTTTCCTTAAGGTTCAGAAGTTCTGTATGGTTTCCCTTTGTTTTATAATTTCTCAGTCCAAAGGACTGGTTTGCTGTCTTGGACTTACAAGATGTGTACCTTCATATACCAATTCACACAGATGAGACCAAGACAAAATAGATTTGTATATGTATTTAACCCTTCTGTGCACTCCCAGAAACAAAAATTCTCTACTCCCAGGTCGATTTTAAAACAGTTGGGTTCGTGGATTCTCAACTCTAACTTATTTCTTGGGATACCTTTTGGTTCTCCATTCCCAGAGATTGTGGTCACTGACTGACGCTTCTTTGATGGGTTGGGGTACCCACTGTAATAACAGGTGCATAAGAGATTTTTGGCCTCCGTCTGAAAAGGAATTGCATATCTACCTTTTGGTATTAAGAACCATTCATTATGCCCTTAATTCTTTCACAGCTGTTCTATGTGGAAAAGTGCAAATGGACAATACCACCACCATGTTTGATCTAAATGAGCAGGATGGTATAGTGTCCCACCCCATCTGCCCAGAAGCCATTGCAATCTGGGAATGGGCTATTCAGCATCAGGTTACTCTGTAGGCTCTCCGCATGGCAAGTTCTGACAACACCAGGGCAGATCTACTCAGCAAATCGGTGGAGCCCACACATGAATGATCACTGGGGCAGGACTATATCTCCCCTGTTTTTATTCTCTTGGGTTACTCTATGGTAGACCTTTTTGCAACACACCTTGCAACACATTCTTGGCAAATTTTTCCTTCTTTTATGAATCGCACGTATACTAAAAGCAAAGCTTCATTTCCTGGCAAAGTTGACTCATCAAGCTGTATAGACAACTGGAATGTTTTTAAATACTCACATAATGAGTCTTCAACATCTTGAGCCATTTCATCAATTCTTCGTTGCACTGTATTATTGCTCAAAGAAATTTTCTTGGTAATATCAGATGCTGGCTTGTGTAACATGGTGCGTATTACCTCACTTATAGCTAGTAGAATTAGTTCTTCACCAACAGAATGCAGTTTTCCTGATTTAGAAAGAGTTTTGCCAATGTTGGCTGTCTCAAAAAGTTTTCTTTAAGTGCATGAAAATAAGATAAATCCTTATCTTTCTTATCAGCATGAACTTTTGTCAAATGTTCTTGTAGTTTTGAAGGCTTCATAGCTACATTTGAGAAAAGTTTTGGCAAATCAGGCACATCGGTAATGTACTGTTTGTAGGTGACTGAATAAAGCCATAGTTCAAATATTGAATATTATATTGTCTACATTTTTCTTAGGTTCAGCCATGATATTATCTGTAAAAAAGTAAAAATTTCTGTGTTTATTTATGAAACAATTAATTAATATTACCAGCAGCAGGCATGAATTATAGTTCTTCCCACCACTGGGGAATAACCCCCTCCCCCCCACACACACATGAACTGTTGGGGAAAGCCAGCTTTGAAATACCTGGAAATCATTCCTCTCTTACACCCCCACACCAGGTGCAAGGCAGCTTACATAGCGCAATCCAAAGAGCACTCCAGTACCCCAATTCCTTTAATCTCGAAATCATTACTTACCAGTGGCAGAGCAGGAATTCAAACCCAGGTCTCCGAGACCCTTGTCTGACACTTAAAACGCTCTACCACCCTGACCAGCTGGCTGTCCCAAATAGAAAGAGAAGCTTCTCAAGGACTTCCACTTTAACTTCTGGCTTCCCAGCTGCAAAGTCCTGCTTCAAAGCGCATATGCAACCACGTCTCAGTGAACCTCACAAGCCCAAGTGCAAGGGAGTCAGAATTTGCAATCCTTGGCTTTTCCCATCAAATGTGCTCTATTTGCATAACTTCTGCAGGCTACAAAGAATTTGGCATTCTTTGAGGCACACAGCAGTGCAGTATCAAGAAAAATATTTAAAAACCAACCAGAAAATTACAATATTTAAACAATAACCAATAACAAAAGTTGAATCACAGAATTAAAAACATCGAGCAAACCCCCACCACACCAACAAGCAATTACTACAGTTAATTTAAAAAAACAACAGTCCAACAGAAATACTTTTAAATGCAAACCAAACTTTTAAAACTTTCCCTCAAAATTATTAACTGTAAGAGAGTAAGCTTAGCCAACCCCCACCCCACACCCAACAGAACTGTAACCCAAAGCCACCCCAAGCAGGGTGCCCAACCTAAAGTAAAGGCACACTAATTTAAAAGGTCCTTTTACTAATATCCTCCTTTTAAAATAATACGTATTTTCCCCAAATCTTACCTTTTAGATGTCTTCTTCAGTCCAGGTGGAGTCTGCCACGATCCACGCAGGCAGGCAGGCCAAGGCAGGGACAGAGCAGCAGCTGAAGGCCTGAAGCCAGAGGCCAGCAGCAGCCACCACACAACAGCCCAACAGCAACACCAGCCTTACAAGGGTGCACATGCATTTGCAAATGACTGTGATTGGCTGTGGGGACCTACAGAGGACCTAGGGCGACTGAATACATTCGGTCATCCCTCATACCGGTCCGGTTACGGAATGCACCCCTCAGAGCTCGAGGGGATGTGGCCGTTAGGTGAGTTGCCGAAACGGAAACCCAAAAAGGCTGCTGTAGATAGGTTCTGGACTCTCCTTTCTTTATGCTTCCACCGCCCCCTTATTTTTATTCAACACCCCCCCAATTGCACCCAAGGGTCCTACCGCCCACCTGGATCGTTCCAGCGCCCCCCAGGGTGCGGTATGGCCCAATTTGGGAACCAGGGCTCTAAAGGGATGGCCGCCTCATCACGGACTGTATCCAGACGGATCCTCCTCTCTCTCAACGATCAGGTGTCCCATGCCCTCTCCAGGCCAGAGCGCATCCCACGAGGGCACGAGCTGCTTCTGTTGCCTTTCGACCAGGCAGTCCATCGGCTGACACCTGTTAAGGCTGCGACATGGCCCTCTCTGGATGCCTTCATCAGGCACTGTTCTGTGGACATCAACACAAGGAGAGAGGGGGCAGCAGGAGCAGCAGCTTTGCATTCGATTTTTCAGTGGCTCACTGACTCCACCTCCTGGTAAGTTGTCTTGTTAGTCTCCCATTGTGGGACTGCACAGAACAACGAGGATGAAAGAAACAGTGTTGCACTCACCTGCAGCCGTTGTTCATTGAGTTGTCTCTGTGCAGGCACGCCTCCCCTCCCTCGCGGCCCACTGGGAGCTTGTTGTTACTATTTCTGAGGCTAATTGTGGTGGCCGAGGAGAGCTGAGGGGAAGGGGGAGTACCTCCCCAGAGCCTGGGGTGGTCTGAGCGGGAAAAGGGCCTCTGAGAAGCACTGGAGGGGCGGGGGCGGGGACTCCCTCGGCTCTGTGGTTAATGCTAAAGGGAAGCTGAGCAATCTCCCCAGCAGCTGGCCTGCGCGCGATGAACAGCAGTTACAGGTGAGTGCGACACTCTTTTATTCAGTGGGCCTTACTCCTCCCAGGACTCTTACGATTGCAGCCAATGTCAATTCACCATGGCTGGTGCTGAAAAGAAAAGCAGGAAAACCAAAAGACGGACAAACGAAGGGGAGAAATGCACCAGACCTAAGCAAAGAGAGCAGGCAGTTTCCATGTGTTCCAGGTGCTAACAATGCAAGCTAGCGATCTGCCATCTCAATCTTTCTTAAGGCTAGTTACTTTTCGTTAATTAACAAGAAGGGGGACCCATGATACTCGCGGGGGGGGAAGGAAGCAGCCGCTGGTGAGGCCTGCACCCCTCCAAGCCTTCTCCCTCCTTC